ATCTCAGGTGTGCACCATATTTTTGATTTAATCAATAATTAGGGATATAACCTCAAAAATTAAATTTTTTATACCTATATACAGCATCACCGCGTGGAGATATCAAAATTTTTTATTAAAATAATCGATTCCTAATTAAGAAATAACCAACTTTTATTCGAAAAAGTTTTTGATTTAACCACTTTTTTCAATCAAGCCCGATTAACACGATTAACATTAAAAAACATCAGATTATATCTAAAAATGTTGCTGTAGATGTAGCTAAAGTAGAAATTTTGGATATTTCGACGTTGAATATAAACCAATTCGAAATATTTATACATATACCACGAAATCCCGATTAAAAATATATCAATATTAACATAAATTATTCCGCGGCAGTTAATTAAATGATGATATATCCCGAAAACAGCCCGTTGGCCCCAAACCAGCAGGTATTATCTATTAATTAGTTAATGGCATTACTCGATTGCAATTTCATGATGGCAAACCGAATTCTGGTCCATATTTTATTCATCACGTTGGTCTGATGCTTGCGGAAACTTGATTGTACACCAACAATCTATTTCGGTATTTTCCCCTCTCTCACCTAACCCCGGTTTATAAATTTCAAAATCGACTTTCTGTTTAAATTGAAATATAAATATTCAAAATATTAATTAATTTTTTAAACGACTTTATTTTATGTACGTATGTGGATGAGAGGAAATGTCACTTTGCCTGATACGAAGTCCCCCATCCGCAACCCGACGGTAGAGTCAAATTCGCGTCTGTATAATTTTTATTATTCCATTAGAAGCGACACCTATCAATTTAAACCGAATTACCCACTCGGGGGCCCCTATTATTATTATTTTCGCAATGATCTCTCCTCCCTATTTCATATCTACATAAAAAAAATTATTATAGTATTCCTGATGATGATACTTTTAGATCGAAAATTTCTATAATTTATTAAAACTAATTGGTAAGATCTCAGGTGTGCACCCTCCGTTTTATTAATAAAAGGGGGCTCGAGGTTCTATTCGTGTAAAGTGGAATTAGACGTGTAACGACGAGAGAGAAGTGAAACATTAATATCAATTCGCGAAAGGGAGCTCCGACGGGTTTCGGCATTAACATATATCTATATATTTATAATTCGAGAAATTACGTTCTAATGGTTTCGAATTTACTTAAAATTAATCACCCACCTTATGTGTATCCCCGAAAATCGTGATGGCTGTTTTGGGGGAATCCCCCAAAATTGATCACCGAAAAATTTATTTTTAAATTAAACACGATTATTTATTTTATGGGTTTTAATCAAAGTCTCATTTTATTTGCAACAATCCCAAAATAAAATATATATATAATTTATAAATTATATATATAAATTAAAAATCACTCACGATTCAAAACTTAAAAGTCCACGTCCACGTTTTCTTATTATTATTATTTTCCAAAAAAATTTTTATATCACTCGCGAACTTATCAAGATAGTTATTCGTACGCAACCACCCTATATCTATGTACTCTTGATGGTGCTGCGTGTCAATGGAGTCTCTGCAGGACTACACGATATGATGATGCTTTCCTGCGTCGTTGCTATGGGAGGTGCGAGAGAGTGCGCGCGCTTCAAATGGGCGTGTTCAGCCGAGGAAATCCTATCCTGGTCGCAGGATAACGGCTCCTTAAGCAGCCGGCAGGACGAAAGGATGCCGATACACTTTACGGCCCTAAACACTAAACACTTTTTTCGCTGCAAGATCGCCGCTTCCACCACGACGATGGAGGTGGGTGGCAGGAAACGAGATGGAGATACGACCGTGTTGTCTTTATCCGACTTGAGGAGATCCCCGTAAGATCGAAGGAGTCGGTGTTATTCTTTATTTGTTTTCGCTTCTTGAACGAGAGGGTATCTAGAGTGGCTAAGGGTGGCGTTATTGTCGGGGTGTTTTCCGGTTAGTTTTATGGGTAGATGATTTTCCGAATGGTTGTCGTTTAAACAGGAGAAGTTGAAAATTCGATTCATCTTGATTTATTCATTTTAATTTTATTTAATAATTCAAAATTTTGATTTTGAATATAACTTCATTGATTTTTTGTTAAAATTTTGCTAATATTAAAAAAAAATCATGTTAAAAATAAAGTTTTTTTACTTAATATAAATATTTGAGCAAAAAATGAGATTTTGATTAAATTAATATCAATTTTTGATCACTGCTTATGTTTTATTGCACTTTTTAATGTTTAAAATTTAAACCAAGTGTTTTACAATCAAATTCTAAGTATCTAAAAAAACAATTTGTCGATAAAAACAACAATATATTATGATAAAACTGGATTAAATTTTATTTACCGTACTATTCACAGGGAAATCAAAATTGAAAATTAGGTAAAAATTGTATTAAGAAAAATTGTTGCTTATTCAATTAGAAACAAATATTGTTAGAAAATATGTTTGATTTAATCAATAATTAAGGATATAACCTCAAAAATTTAATTTTTTATATCTATATACAGCATCACCGCGTGGAGATATCAAAATTTTTTATTAAGATAATCTTTTTAAAATCGAAATTCGATTATATTTTATTTGAAAAACTTTTTGATATTAATAATAATTATTAAGATAACCTCAAAATGATGATTTTTAGCAGTGTTTAGAGCCACCTGTGAATTCTTCAAAAATTTCTTAATAAAAAACAATTTCAATTAATATTTTAAACAAATATTATACAAAACATTTTTCGTTAAAAACAATAATATATTATAATAAACCTGGGTTAAACTTTATCTACCGTACTATTCACAGGGAAATTAAAATTGAAAATTTGACAAAAATTGTATTAAGAAAAATTGTTGCTTATTCAATTAGAAACAAATATTATTAAAAAATATTTTTGATTTAATCAATAATTAAGGATATAACCTCAAAAAATTAATTTCTTATACGTATATACAGCATGACCGCGTGGAGGTATCAAAATTTTTTATTAAGATAATCTTTTTAAAATCGAAATTCGATTATATTTTATTTGAAAAACTTTTTGATTTTAACGATAATTATAAGGATAACCTCAAAATGATGACTTTTTAGCAGTGTTTAGAGCCACCCTGTGAATTTTTCAAAAATTTCTTAATAAAAAACAATTTTAAATGATATTTTAAACAAATATATAAAACATTTTTCGATAAAAACAATAATATATTATAATAAACCGGGGTTAAATTTTATCTACCGTACTATTCACAGGGAAATCAAAATTGAAAATTAGGCGAAAATTGTATTAAGAAAAATTGTTGCTTACTCAATTAGAAACAAATATTGTTAGAAAATATTTTTGATTTAATCAATAATTAAGGATATAACCTCAAAAATTTAATTTTTTATACGTATATACAGCATGACCGCGTTGAGATATCAAAATTTTTTATTAAAATAATCTTTTTAAAATCGATATTCGATTATATTTTATTTGAAAAACTTTTTGATATTAATAATAATTATTAAGATAACCTCAAAATGATGATTTTTAGCAGTGTTTAGAGCCACCCTGTGAATTTTTCAAAAATTTCTTAATAAAAAACAATTTTAATTAATATTTTAAACAAATATTATATAAAAGATTTTTCGTTAAAAACAATAATATATTATAATAAACCTGGGTTAAATTTTATCTACCGTACTATTCATAGGGAAATCAAAATTGAAAATTAGGCGAAAATTGTATTAAGAAAAATTGTTGCTTATTTAATCAGAAACAAATTTTGTTAGAAAATATTTTTGATTTAATCAATAATTAAGGATATAACCTCAAAAATTTAATTTTTTATACCTATATACAGCATCACCGCGTGGAGATATCAAAATTTTTTATTAAGATAATCTTTTTAAAATCGAAATTTGATTATATTTTATTTGAAAAACTTTTTAATATTAACAATAATTATTAGAATAACCTCAAAATGATTACTTTTTAGCAGTGTTTAGAGCCATCTGTGAATTATTCAAAAATTTCTTAATAAAAAACAATTTAATTAATATTTTAAACAAATATTTTACAAAACATTTTTCGTTAAAAACAATAATATATTATAATAAACCTGGGTTAAATTTTATCTACCGTACTATTCACAGGGAAATCAAAATTGAAAATTAGGCAAAAATTGTATTAAGAAAAATTGTTACTTATTCAATCAGAAACAAATTTTGTTAGAAAATATTTTTGATTTAATCAATAATTAAGGATATAACCTCAAAAATTTAATTTTTTATACGTATATACAGCATGACCGCGTTGAGATATCAATATTTGTTATTAGGATAATCTTTTTAAAATCGAAATTCGATTATATTTTATTTGAAAAACTTTTTGATTTTAACAATAATTATAAGGATAACCTCAAAATGATGATTTTTAGCAGTGTTTAGAGCCACCCTGTGAATTTTTCAAAAATTTCTTAATAAAAAACAATTTTAAATGATATTTTAAACAAATATATAAAACATTTTTCGATAAAAACAATAATATATTATAATAAACCGGGGTTAAATTTTATCTACCGTACTATTCACAGGGAAATCAAAATTGAAAATTAGGCGAAAATTGTATTAAGAAAAATTGTTGCTTACTCAATTAGAAACAAATATTGTTAGAAAATATTTTTGATTTAATCAATAATTAAGGATATAACCTCAAAAAATTAATTTTTTATATCTATATACAGCATCATGGCGTGGAGATACCAAAATTTTTTATTAAGATAATCTTTTTAAAATCGAAATTTGAATATATTTTATTTGAAAAACTTTTTAATATTAACAATAATTATTAGGATAACCTCAAAATGATGACTTTTTAGCAGTGTTTAGAGCCACCCTGTGAAATTTTCAAAAATTTCTTAATAAAAAACAATTTTAAATGATATTTTAAACAAATATTATATAAAACATTTTTCGATAAAAACAATAATATATTATAATAAACCTGGGTTAAATTTTATCTACCGTACTATTCACAGGGAAATCAAAATTGAAAATTAGGCGAAAATTGTATTAAGAAAAATTGTTGCTTATTCAATTAGAAACAAATATTGTTAGAAAATATTTTTGATTTAATCAATAATTAAGGATATAACCTCAAAAATTTAATTTTCTATATCTATATACAGCACCACCACATGGAGATATCAAATTTTTTTATTAAAATAATCTTTTTAAAATCGAAATTCGATTATATTTTATTTGAAAAACTTTTTGATATTAATAATAATTATGAAGATAACCTCAAAACGATGACTTTTTAGCGGTATTTAGAGCCACCCTGTGAATTGTTCAAAAATTTCTTAATAAAAAACAATTTTAAATAATATTTTAAACAAATATTATACAAAACATTTTTCGATAAAAACAATAATATATTATGATAAACCTGGATTAAATTTTATTTACCGTACTATTCACAGGGAAATCAAAATTGAAAATTAGGCGAAAATTGTATTAAGAAAAATTGTTGCTTATTCAATCAGAAACAAATTTTGTTAGAAAATATTTTTGATTTAATCAATAATTAAGGATATAACCTCAAAAATTTAATTTTTTATACCTATATACAGCATCATCGCGTGGAGATATCAAAATTTTTTATTAAGATAATCTTTTTAAAATCGAAATTCAATTATATTTTATTTAAAAAACTTTTTGATATTAATAATAATTATTAAGATAACCTCAAAATGATGATTTTTAGCAGTGTTTAGAGCCACCTGTGAAGTATTCAAAAATTTCTTAATAAAAAACAATTTAATTAATATTTTAAACAAATATTATACAAAACATTTTTCGTTAAAAACAATAATATATTATAATAAACCTGGGTGAAATTTTATCTACCGTACTATTCACAGGGAAATTAAAATTGAAAATTTGACAAAAATTGTATTAAGAAAAATTGTTGCTTATTCAATTAGAAGCAAATATTGTTAAAAAATAGTTTTGATTTAATCAATAATTAAGGATATAACCTCAAAAATTTAATTTTTTATACCTATATACAGCATCACCGCGTGGAGATATCAAAATTTTTTATTAAGATAATCTTTTTGAAATCGACATTCGATTATATTTTATTTGAAAAACTTTTTGATATTAATAATAATTATTAAGATAACCGCAAAATGATGACTTTTTATCAGCATTTAGAGCCACCCTGTGTTTATTGATTTTTTGTTAAAATTTAGCAGTTTAAATCAATTTTTTTATTAATATTAAAAAAATCATGTTATAAATAACGTTTAGATGAAGTTTTTTGGATTGTCATTGAAGTTTTTTTACTTAATATAAATATTTCATTAAAAAAATGAGCTTTTGATGAAATTAATATCAATTCTGTGCTCACTGCTTATGTTGTATTGCACTTTTTAATGTTTAATAATAAATATTTGATTAAAATTTGAAGTTTAGATGAAGTATTTAACAATCAAATTCTAATTGTCCATTAAAAATTGATGTTCAGATGAAGTTTCATGTATTATATTGAGATTTTCTGTTAAAAATTGGTGAAAATTAAATTTTTGGTGAAGTTTTATTGAAGTTTTTAATGTTTAATAATAAATATTTGGTTAGAATTTGAAGTTTAAATGAAGTTCTGTGCCTAG